TTTTTTGTGCAGATGTGACGATACAAAGCAAAGGTACCTGCAATGCGAGTTAGACCCACTGGATTGCGTAGAGGAACAATAGAACATGACTTATACAGAGAACTCCTAGTTACTAATTTATTTTAATTTAATTTTTATTTGTAAATTATATATTTAGTAAAAACAAAAAATTAATAATTTATATTGTCTTTGTATTTATTAAAGAAGTTCTTTTTTCTTTTAAGTATTAACCTATTTAATACTTATCAGCGCATATTGTAGAGAATAATGGAATGGAATTAAAATATTGAATAAATGAAATAGAGTAGTATTATATTTATAAAACACGTTAACAATATCACACGATCACAACATAACAGTTGTACAATTCACCATCTTTACTAAAGACACCATTATTAACAGAATAAACTATTGGCAGAATGATATTATTAGTCAACAGAATATCAACAGAATATACTAAAGAATGAAAATTTAATTTTCAAGTGATAAGTACAGTTACTTTATCTTTGTTTCCTAATTGATACACGATTGCAGTTACATTGCATGCGATTTTTGATGCGTTATCGTACGATAAAATCAAACGTACGCAATAATACGTGAGTGGTTACAGTTGCTAAGAACTAGCTACATAAGAACTAGCGTGCCCGACACATTATTTGTCTCGTACGAACATTTGATTAAACAAAATATTTTGTTTGAAATTCATTCGTTCGTGCGAAATTGAAGATGGAAATATTGAAATGAAGAAGTGTGTGTTGTTTTCAAATAATTTTATTCTATAAATGGAAATATATCTGATAACATATGTTAGTTTTAGGAAATGTATATAATTTGGTAATTTCTTTGATTGAGAAATAAGCAAATTCTCCACTATTATACATTGATAAATAAAAATCATGCACCCAAATTTAATTTAACTAATTAATTTGAAATTAATATAGAATTTAATAAAGCATTTTTCGTTAAATATATATCATTCACTATTCATTTTATTTTCAAAACAAACAAAGCAGAACTGTCAATTCGCAAACAATGCGACCGCAATATAAGACGTGTTCGCACGAAAAAATATAAGAACATGCAAGAAAACACGCAAGAAAAAATTTACATGCAATATAACTGCAGTCTAACATAGGTCAAAATTAATTTTAAACCTAATGAAAAGTTAATTTAAGTATTTTTATGTAGAATATTATGTTTTTAAATGTATGTTTTAAACATAACGAAAATGAATATACGTATGTGTATGTAAAATATTTTCTTTTTAAGAATTTGCGTTTTCCAACACTTTTAAGTGCCAAAAATTTGGCAGCACTTTGTTTTTGCTGTTACAGCTGAGCTGTCAAAAACAACCTTTGCAAAAAACAAATCAAATTAAATCTTATAGTTTGTTTTTAATATAAAAACTGTATGTTCAAATTTACCAGCATCCGTTTAATAATACAATTTATAATATTGTACTTTGTAGTCATTTATACCATCAATATCTAATTTTACAACATAAATACAAAAACACAACCCAATCAAAGTGTAAAATGACAACATATTCAACAGACAGTGACGGTAAATAACTATTTTGACATTGTAACAATTTTTTAAAACGTTTTAGATAATTTATTTAATTATTTTGAACAGGAAAATTTATACCGGCCACACAACGTCCCGATGGTACCTGGCGTAAAGCTCGCCGTGTAAAACAAGGTTATGTGCCACAAGAAGAGGTTTTAATAATAATATTATTTTAAAGAAATATATACAGTTATTTTGTTTTAGGTTCCTTTATACGAAAGTAAAGGCAAACAATTTGCGCAAAATAAAATTACTTTGCCGCCTGGCATGTGCCCATTTGCAGTTGAGGCGGCAAAAAAAGACCGCGAAAAAAAAGAACGTGCCAAGGCTAAGCAACTGGAAAAACAAGCTAACGGAATAGCGAGTACCAGTAAAAACAAACAACAAACTCCAGGCTTATTAGTTTTGCCTGCAAGTAAATCAACTAATCAACAACAGTCAAGTTCAACAATTAAAACTAAAGAAGTGAATACTCCTAATGTAAACAATCTGTGTGAGACGGTAGAAACAGCATTGACCTTGGAAGAGGAGACTCTAACCTTAGCAAAAACATTGAAAAAATTACGTAAAAAATTGCGAGAAATTGAAGCTACTGAGGAAAAAATTAAGAGTGGTGCACTAAAAAAACCCGACAAAGATCAGCTAGATAAAATCAAAAAGAAAAAAGACGTAATCAAACAAATCAAGGAATTGGAATTAGAGGAACAGCAGCAACAAACTCAGTCAAGTGGAAATCAGTAGAAATTATGCGTATATTTTTGTCTTTTTTTGTTGATATTATTTGTTTGTGTTTGCACAATTTACTCTGCTTTGCTTTATAATAGCGGTATTCACGATCTTGTATAACGAGCTCGGTAACCGAGTAACATAGTAATTGTGAATGTAGTAAGAGTAAACTTAAACTACAAAACACATTTACTCAGTTCACACAATTACTTAATTGCTGAGATTATCATTCAAGATCGTGAATGCCGCTAATATTCGTTTGACGATCCCACCTCAGTTTGCAGCAATCGCTTAACCTGCAAACTAAAGAAATTTGCATTTCTTAGTGTCCTTTTAATTTTATTTTACTCAGTGTAAAGGAATTGGCTTAACCTTCGAACTTGTAAAGTTTTAAAGCAATCCTTCGCTTTTTCAATGTGTACTTTTACGTTTTAAAGCTTATCGCTGATACTCGTGTTTCATAGAAACTGTTTTTTTTTTGTTTGGCGGACTCCTGCCCATTAAAGGTTTGAAACAAATCGCAAACCTTCGAACTTATAAAGTTCTGAAGCAATCCTTCGCTTTTTTAATGTGTGCTTTTACTTCATCTTTTACGTTTTAAAGCTTATCGCTGATACTCGTGTTTCATAGAAACTGTTTTTTTTTTGTTTGGCAGACTCCTGCCCTTTAAAGGTTTGAAACAAATCGCGTAATGTTTTTAAGTTATCCTTTGTTTTTCCTAAAGCATCTGCAGAAAATCGATGGTACATCTCTTATCTGCACTCATGGGTGTAAGTATTTTATAAAAACGTTTTTAAGTCAAGAAATAAAATTTTTCCTGCGTATATCAATTCCATTGATGCAAATCAAAAACGGTTTTAACTGCCTTTTTAAAATATATTCTTATAAAGCAAAAAGTCAACTTGAGAAAAATAAACTATTTTAAATACGAAGTTTTTAAAACAACGCATTTTATTACTTATAATGATTAAAAATCCAAATCTTATCATAGAGCTTAGATTTTAGAATTACATTTATTATTAAATATATGCATGTCTTGTAAAAATTCTGTGTGAAATTGATTTTAGTAGTTTTCGTAAAACTTAATTTTTATGTTGAGAAAAAATGTTTATATTAGAATTTTTAATTAAAATAAATCGATGTTTTCGTAATAAATTTATTAAGGTGCTTATTATTTATATTTAAATAAGTTTATTTGCAGCATTTTAATATATTATACATATTAAATTCACTAAATCAATTATTTCCCGAGAAGATTCTTCAATTCGGGGGTAACTTGTCTTTTCGAAATAGTGCGGCTCATCATTCTAGGTTGCCCGTTTGCAAGGATGATTAAATATTCTACTACAACAACAACTTAACATGTCTTTATGGGCATCAGAAAGTATCTTTATTAAAAGTATCTCTATTATTAAAAAAGTATTTTTTATGAAGAAATTATAAAATTATTTTTAAACTCTACTGGATCATTCATAATGTAAATGCAAAAAATTTAAATTTCTTTTGCCACTAAATAAAACCTATTGTAGAATCCGTTGGTGAACTAAATCTGAATTAAATCGAACGATGGTGCCCTTCACTTCAGTGGAACCACTTGTTGGACAGTGCGCTGTTCCAACGTCCCACCATATATATGGTGTTCTACAATCCAAACACTCGGAAATCTTATATTCAAAGTCGGAGTTAATACCAATTTAAGGTGTTTTGAATTCCGTTCGAATTCATGACGGTTCTTGAGAACTTTGGGTGTACTCAAATTCGAACACATAGTTCGATGCTCGCACATTTAGGTCAATAATATTTATTAGAATATTGAATTATTATTATATATATAATAACATGTATAATTTATTAAATCTC